CCCGCCATGCTCGGTCTCTCCGCTCCAGCCCCGCCACCCCCAGACACCGGGACCGCGCCCGGAACGGCCTGCCGGAAGTGACGTCACTTCCGACCCACCCGCGGGCGCGTTACCGGGGGATGAGGAGCGGTCGTCGCGCCCGGGGCGTGGCAGGGCCACCGAGGCCGGGACCAGCGGGAATGGGGGCACCGGGTGGGGGACATGTGTCGGGACCTGGCGGGAACGGGGCACCAGCACCGGGCGGGGGATTCACACCATGACAGGCCCCAGTGGGAACGGGACACCGGCACCGGGGGGAGGACCGGGGTCTGCCCCGCGAGCACCTGGGTTCACCGGGACCCGCCCCATATGGGCGTGGAGGCACCGGGACGGGCCTCATGTGTGGCAGGGCCCGGAGGATCCACCCGGCCCCAAACGAGCCGCCCCGCTCCGTGGCCGGACGCCCCTCAGCCCCGCGGGCTGCATTTGCGCACGGCCCCGCCGCGAGTTGGGCATTGCCACCTCTGGAGAACCCCCAGACTTTGCCGGGGACATGAGCCCACGGCCCTGGAGCAGATCCTGCTCCTTCCTTCCACCCAGGGGTAGGGCTGTGGCCACCAGGCTCCCAGTCCACTTCCATGTGTGAAGTCCCAATGGTGAAACGGCCTGAGCCGAGGCTAAAATCCTCCTGTCTCAGGGCAGGTAACGCTGCGAAGATCAGCATTCTTCGGAGCTGGGAGCTGTGTTCCTCAGTGTCATGAGGGTCATGGAGCCACCCAAGAGCTCAATAAACACATCACTGAGCCCTGTCACTGAGTCCTGTTAAATGCTCTCATTCCCCACAAAGCCTATTCGGCAGTGCTTCAAGCATGTGGATAGAAGGGAAAGTCTCCAGGCTGCTGGCCTGAAACCCTCGGTAGCCAGGCAGGTAGATGCTTCAGGAGCGTTTGCCTGTGATGGCACGTATGGTATAGCATGTTTCCAGGGATGAGGTGGGAATCAAAAGGGTTCTGTTGGGCTGGAAGCAACTGGGAGGCAGCTCTGCCCTTTCAATGCTCCAGGGTGCAAAATCCTTCCACTTCCCAGAGCCAGGGGCAAACTGGGGGACCCCCATGGGCCACCCTGGGAAGCAGCAGCCAGGAAAAGGGGTCCAGCTGCACAGAGAGGGATCCACAAAGAAGCAAGTGGAGATGTGGTAACAGCAGGGAAAATGCCAACAAGGAGCAGAGGGAGGCAAGAAGGGTGTGAGGGAGGGAACGGGCTCCCAAGAGCTCTGCAGTGCTGCAACACAAACCGATTCCAGTGCAGGGCTGGTGACAGGGATCTGCAAGCAAAGCTGCAGGGTGACATGTCCCAGGGCTCTGAAGCTCCCAGTGAGAGGGGCCCAGGTGCTGTGCAGGGCTCAGGCGCTTCCCCACGAGCACAGCGGGAGAGGACGGCTCCTGCCTTCTCTGCATCACAGCTGGGCTGCATCACTCTGACACTGGACCCTGAGACATCCCAGCCCCGCGAGGACTGCCAGGTCCTGACAGGTGATGAGCGGGGCCTCATGCCTCGTGATGGCAGGAGAGCAGCCACTGGGTGAAACCCTGCACCGCTCGCACCATTGTTTTCCTGGAAACAGCGGACAACAATAGCTGGGCTGTGCAATGCTCACCCTGGCCGTGAGCCCCCGCCCTCAGGGGGATGAGGGCTCCCCCCTCCTCCTCCTCTCTCGGAGCTCGGCTCCTCCACCCCCAGCCGTGACTCAGAGCTTCCTGGGGACACGTGGACCCCATATCCCGCACTTGATGGGCTGCTCGCTGCCTGGCTCTGCCCTCCGGATACGTCCTTCACAAGGCCATTCTCTGCTCCTGGACACCTACACAGCTTTATCGGGAGCACACTGAGCCGGGCAGGGACTTAACTGTGTCACCAAGGCATAAGGAAGGCTGCGGCCCCCCCAGAAAGGGGGCAAGGCAGTGCTCAGCTTCCACCCTGCACCCCATACGTACATCCGCCGCCTTCTTCTCTGCCAGCTCCAGTTTCTCCTGGGCGTCTTTCAGGGCCTCAGAGTATTTGTCCAGTTCATCCTCTGTCCCCTTTAGCTTCTTCTGCATAGCAGCTAGCTCATCCTCCAGCTGGAAGGACAGTGTCGTCACCACAGGTGGACATCACTCTTAACCCCCACACCCCAAGAGAGTCCTGCCTGCCTCATCCCAGGCTCAGCTCTGCCCCATGGCATCCCTCCTACCCCATCTTTGGGACCAGCTCTGCCCCACAGTGCCCATCCGTTTCCCACATCCCACCAGCTGGCATTGGGATTGAGCCTTGGCCAGCCCTCGGGGTGCCCTTGAGCTGTGGCATAATGGCAGCTGTCACACTCTCAATACCCCAGGCAGAGTCTCTTTTGGGTCTGGGCTCAGCGTGACCCAGCAGAGGCAGAAGCCACCCCCCAAAACCCCTGGGCTGGGGGCTGTGGCTGTCTGCCCTACCTGCTTGCTCCGCTCCTCTGCCTGCTTCTGCTCAGCCTCTGCCTGCTCTGCCCGGTCCAGGGCATTCTCCTTGTCCAGCTTCAGCATCTGCATCTTCTTCTTGATGGCCTCCATCCTTGGTGGGACACAGGCAGTGGTGGGCAGTGGGATGCAGGACAGATAATGGGTGGGTAGGGCAGCTGTGTTGCCTGTGCCTCACTGACCGTTTATCAGCTCTGCCCAGCACAGGGGCTTTGCCTTTCTTGGGCTGACCCGCCTCCCCACCTTCCCAAAAAGTCTGTGCTCAGGACCCATTATGTGTCCCGGGGGCTCCGGGTGGTCACAGCCTTATTTGGGCTCCCGAGGACAGCTGCGGTGTTATAAAAAGCAGAAGTGGGTCTGCAAGAGGGGGTCCTGCATTGTCCCAGGTACCCCCTCCCCCCATGCAACGGGACACCCCGAGCCCCGAGCACTTCCTCAGGATGCTGAACTGGGTCTATTTAGCACTGGCACGAAGTCCTCGCTCCCCATTTGCCTTCCTGGAGGGGCTTAGGATGTTTTGGTGGCCCTGGGCTGACATTTACCCCTGCCTGGGGGTGGCATGGAAAAGGGCAAGATCATCCTGGTGCTATTTCGGGAGCAAGGGCTTGGCCAAGAGTGTTTGGCTCTGCAGGGAGCAGCAGGGGAAACTGCACCCAGCACCAGGGGCAGAGTCCCCCAGGAGCCTGCTGAGACCCAAGGCCAGCTCCAGCCATGCTGGTGCTTTGTGCTGAGGTAGAAGATGCTGTTGGCAGCTGGAGGAGCAGATTCCTCAGGCACGGGGAGGAATTCTCAGGGCAAGTGGTGGCACTTTGTCTGCAGCCAAGAGGTTTCTAGCCTCCTCATGCTGGCCCAGAGATCCCAATGGTCCCATAAATCAAGTTAGGATCTCCCATGGAAGACCCTACCCCTACTGCTCCTACCCAGGGACAGATGTAGAGGGCTAAAGGGGCCAGAACTCGGGGGCCTGGGGGACAGAGACCTGGTGGCAGCTCTGGGCACCCTGGGCAGGGCACTGGGGGGGAGGGCCCCACCAAGGGCCCTGAGCAGTGGCTGCACCTCCATAAATAACGCCCCCCCCCCCATACCAGGGCAGTGGAGGCAGTGCTGGGCACAGGGCCACGGGCCTTTGTATTGTCATCATCCCTGGCGTGAGCAGGGGGACAGGTGGCGAGCGTTGACCCTGCTACCATCCCAAACCTCCACCAACCCCCGGACGGCTCTGGGCTCCCCCTCTCAAGTCCCATGGAGATGGGCAGACAGGTTTTATTGGAGCAGTGAGGACTAGCAGACGGTGCAGGACAGGGTGCAGAGGGCCCCCCTGTCTGAGGCATGGCACGGGCAGCATCTGGCCAAGTCGGTGCTGGGCGTCCCTGGCGCTGTAAGAATATGTTTGATATTTAGTTGGTTTTCCAATAAAACAACCTAATATCAAACATATCAGACAGAGACAGGGGCAGATGGAGGTGGGAGGACCTGGAGCGCAGCTGCCTGTAAGAGAAAGAAAAGAATACGCTGACAGCTGGGGCAGGAGTAGTATCCAGGTGTAATCCCCGAGGCACTGCAGAGGCAGCACCCAGCCATACCTCAATGCCTGGAGCCTGCTGAGCAACTGTGCCGGTACTGGGGTGCTCGGGATGCAGTGCTGGAGCAGGAGGCGTCCTGTGGCTGGGATGAAGCCGGAGCAGGGCAGTGCAGGCTTGGTCTCCTGGCATGGCACGTCAGGGCACACCATGACATGCACTGGCATGGAGTAACATGCTATGGCAGGCAGCACTGGGGCCAAAGGGACCCCACATCCATCACCATCTTACCTGGGCTGGCTTGGGGGCCTCTTCTGCGCTCTGGCTTGGAGATCGCCTGGCTGCCGTTTATAACCGCACTCGACTGCACCGAGCAGAGGGACGTGGCCAGCGACAGCCCTGGCCCTGCACACGTGGCCTCATTCCCATTAATTACCACCCATTGACGTCCCCCTGCCCCCTCCACGGACCCCCGCGCCCTTGTTGCCCAGCACTGCCGCTCGATGCGGTCGATGGCCCTGCACTGCTTGCTCCTGCCCCTGGTCATACTCCCTGTCATTAGCGGGGCTGTCAATACTGGGGGGCCAGCCCTGGCCTGCAGGCCCTGTGCCACCAAGGGGCTACACATGACCCTGCCCAAGGACGAGCCCCATTGACAGAGGGGAGTTGTGCCTCACATCCCCTTGCTTTGGAGGAGCTGCTGGAACTCACAGGAGTTTTTCTTCCAAGGAGCAGCTGGAGGGGCTGCCTGTCACCCTGCTGCATCCATATTGAGGATGTGGCCCCACTCATGCTGGGTGACAGAGGCAGGACCCCAACCCACACTGAAGTAGCTGATGGGACCAGGGTGGTGGTGTCCAGCAACAAGGGCACATGGGATATCATGGAGTGCTGGAAGCACAGTCTCCCCACACCACAGCAGTGTTTTGCTGCAGTGGGAAGTGCCAGCCTTGTGAATGGCACCAGGGGCTTTGTGGGGGGCTCAGGCTTTGGGGCACCAATGGGACAGGACATGGGGCAGCCAAAATCCTGAGTGCCATGGGAAGGACTGGGACACAGCCTGGCCTTGGGGGTCAGGGGCTTCAGCCTCCTGAGGTAGCCCACGATGAGGTAGGAGTGGGGACAGCAGGGACACACGTGGCAGCAGCAGTGCCAGAGCCAGGGCCGTGTATGTGGCAGTGGGTGATGTGATGCAGCCCGACAGCCGAGCTAATGAAGGGCCGGGGGCAGGGGGTGCCGGCCGAGCAGCCCCCAGCCCTGTCAATAAGCAGAGCCAGAGCAGGCACTGATGGGCCCTGGGGCTGGGAGACACCAAGGTCAGACACAGGCAGAAAGGATGGGAGGTGGGGAACAGGGCCCTCCCAGCTGGGGAACAGACAGGGATCCTGGGGTGCCTGAATGGCAAGCGGGGACAGGGAGAATTGCACCCAGCCCAGCCAGGCTCCTCTCCCTGCTGCTGCAGGGCTGTGCCACATGGCCAGGAGCACTGTGGCACACAGCAGGTCCTGTGCTAAGACAGGAATCCAGTGTGCAGCACCCACTCACCTCTGGTGAGGCATACTGGCCCTGCTGCCACCTCCTGGCGCAACCATGGGTGAGATGAAGAGTGCAGGATCCAGTGCACCCAGGGTTGCAGGCAACATATCTGGATCCCAGCCACAGGAATTGTACTGAGCTGTGTCTTCCCCCCACTGCTGCCCTGGACTGTCCCATGCTTCATATGCAGCAGAGACAGCCTGTCTTGCTCAACATGTTTTATTCTTAGTCATGAGTTGGGTGATTCCAGGCCAGAGCCACACACTGGGCTGAGCACTCAGAGCCGCTCCACATAGAAGGCTTTCCCCTGCTGGCGCAGCTGCTGCTGGTGCTGTAGGTGCTCATCCAGGACGAGATGGGACAGGGCATCTCGGCGGATCTGCCAGGTACAGAAGTTGTGCTGAACTCCCATATCCCCTGGCTCATCAGTGCTGGGAAACATTGTTCTCCAGGATGTAGTGGAGCAGGACAAAGGTGGCATTCACCCCTGTCAGCAGAGGGCTGGGGAACCCTAGCTGAACCCAACCAATGCCCAGCCTCACCACTGCCTGCTCCCTGCCTGCAAGGTGCAGCTCCAACTCCACACACTTCTTCAGCCGCGGCTCCATGATCCACTGCAGCACCTCAAGGGATGATACGCAGCACTCTGGGTGCTCCCTGGCCTCCTGTCCACAGCTTTTGAGGCACAGGGTGGGCAGGTCAGGGATGCAGAGATGTTCCCCTCAGCCTGCCCTGTGCTAGACTCCTCATCGCCCACAGATCCTCAGGGGATCAAAGCCCCCAGGGTGCTTTGCCAGCTCTACCTCTCCAAGAGCCTTGCACCAGCATTTCCATTTGCCTGGACCTGCAAACAAAGAGCAATGTTTGTGTGGCCTGGGGTTTAACCTGCACCAGGGCACACTGCAGCCCACTGTCCCCGCCTGCTCCCAGGACAGCTTCCATCTTCCCAACCCCTGCCCTGTCTGACCTCCTCTTGCTGCAGTGAGGAGCTCTGGCTGTTTGGTACTGCCATGGCCAGTGCCACAGAGACCCTGCAACGGCTCCCCTGCAACAGCCACGGAGTTAATGGAATACCTTGGCATCCTGGTTACAGTAACAGCCTCCCAGTTACTGTAATGGTAGCATTCTGGTTACCATAACTGCATGCCAGTTTGTGTCATGGTATTGCAGTTACCATAGCAGTAATGGCAGCACCCTGGCTACCATTAATGGCATCTCAGTTACTTTGTAGCAGCTTCAGCAGGGGATGAAGCCTGGCATCGGGTAGGGATGGGGCCCTGTAGTCAGAGGCCAGTGGCACACATCCTACTTGAGCTAAACTGCTGTTTTATTAAACAGTAATTTAAAAGTGCCAAGGTCTGTACTCTCTACTCTGTGTTGCCCATGCCACAGTGATGGATGAGCTGCCAGTGCTGTCCTCAGCCTGACAGAATGCAGACTCAAGGTGGGGGCCACGAGCTTTCAGCCTCAGGAGCTCGGCAGATTGCTGGCAGGTGAGGCGCTGGTGAAAGTGGGAGCAAACACCCCCTTGGCAGAACAGATGGGACATTTAACACTGTTTTGTCCACTCAAGACGTCCCCAAATGCCCGGTTGCAGGAGAATGAGTAGAAACCTCAGCCCAGAGCGGTAGCTTAGCCACGGTGCTAAGAACAGGCACCAAACTATTTCTACCTCATCCAGGTGCGCAGGCAGGCTGGCCACAAAGGGCTGACAGCAGGAACAATGATGTCATGGGGAAAAGTGTTCACCCTTCGGAAAAAAACAGACAAGTGGCTCCAGTGCCCAAGACCTACACAGACAGGATGGACAAACATCAGTTCCCGCTAGCTGTTGCAGGGATGGGTGGGCAGAGGAGAGTGCTGGCTGGGATCCATCTCTTTATAAATAAGCTCAAGCTCATGAGTTTATTCACAAGGTCCAAGACAGTGCAGGACTCAGAGACTGGAATGTCATAAGCCTGTGGCAGAGAAGGCCATGGGGCTGATCCCCATAGGCTCAGCAGCTCCAGAATGGGCTCCTGGTGAGGGCCAAACTCCAGCAGCTGGAATGGAGCCCCCACCAAGCGATGACCTCCCATGTGGTATGAGGGGGAGATCTGAAAGTGCAGCTGGTTCCTCTCAGTGCTACCTGCACTGCAGCCCAGACCTGCCAAGCATTCCCACTGCACCAGGCCCCTGCACGCTCACAGGGTGCTCTCCAGCGTGTTGTAGTTGTCCTTGAAACTCTTCAGCTCCAGGAAGTGTTTGGCACGTTTGCTCTTCTGGCTGGAAGGAAGGTAGGTGACCTGGATGGTGGTGGGATTGGAGACTTCAGGGGACAGGGTGAGGTCTTTCACTGCTGACTGGTGCTGCCGCTGGCTGCTGCCACCCCGGGTCTTGGTCCTGTGGGCAGAGAAGAGGCACCATCACTTGCTGCTGTTGCCCCAGAGGAGCTGCTCAGCCTGTGTATCTGTCTGTCCAACATGAAACAAATCTGCTTTCATGGTGATAGCACTCACTGATGTCTTGACATCTAAGGCCACTGGTTCTGTGCAAGTCCCTGACTCAAAGTGGTTGGGGACAAGCAGAAATGTCAACTGTGACTATGGAACAAACCCAGACCTGCAGTAACAGATGAACTGCAAGGAAGGAGTGAACCCAGAGGGACAGAGGTGCACAGACAGCCCCTGTCTCAGATGATGGCTATGTCCCAAAACCCATCTCTGTTCATACCTTCCCAAGGGCTGCTGGGGCCCAGGAACACACCACTGCATCCAGGCAGCAGCACTTACATGTTTGCCAGTTCGTTCAGAGCTTCTTCATACTTCAGATATTCCATTTTCCCAAAGACCTGGATACAAACAGAACAGACCATGGAACATCCAGCTGAAGTTATGGTGTGGTCTCAGTCCCAGCAGCAGGGCAGAGCACAGAAGTGCCCTGCAGGGTGGGCAGTGCCCAACTAGCACTCACCCCAGTGCCATAGCGGGCACTCTCATAGCCATCCAGCAAGGTGTCAATCAAGGCTTTGCGGATGCCTTTGAAGGACGTGCTGGAATTCCGCAGTTCCAGCAAGTAGGCACAGAAGTTCTTCCCGATTAAAGACTTTGGGTACCGGCCCTCTGCTTGAAACGGGATTTCTGGAAAAAGGCACAACAGCTGAAGTGCAGGTAAAAATGTTTGTGCTCATCCCTATGGTCAGGAATCAGCGGCTGGATAAATTTCCATCCGTGCCCACTGCCTCCATTTGCCAACTGCCCCAGCCCATGGAGCGAGCCTACCCTCAGGCCACCAGTGGGAAAAGTGATTGAGTGACTGCTACTCCCCAGTGAGCACTTGGAGCTCCCCCATGAGGCTGCTGGCACCCTCATTCAGGGTCTCTCTGCATCCTTATGCTCCCACTCTTACTCTGGGTTCCCTTACCTGATGTCCTGATTGCATCTAGTGCCTTCATCCTGTACAGGTAGTTATAGCAGCCTGGTAAAGAGAAAGCACAAACTGAGATCTCTGCAAACTTTGGAGGGAAGTGGGGAAAGGGAAAACAAGAGAGGAGACACCATCTCATGTGACAGGACACCAACATGAGCAGTCAAAGGTGTGACTTGGCTCCAGGGGAGTAAGTGAAGAATGGTACTTCTGGCACTGTACCTGGTGTCTCCAGCTGCAGGAGCCGGCCGTCATCCTCTGCCAGCAGCTGTGGCTCATACTTGATGTCCTGCACCCTTGACAGTCGAATGTCAATCTCTTCCTTTAAATCCTGTACAGCAGGAAAAAAACATTTACAGACCACTCACTTTGTAGGACCAAAAGGATAAGAACAGACCCTAGATAAACCGTACCTTCCCCACTGCCTATCACCACTCTGAGGCAGCAGCTCTGACGCTGGAGCAGCTCCTGCCTGTCCCTTCAGGCATGAATGGGCTGGTGGGTGTAGGGAATGGAGAATACCCACCTTGGGTGCATGCTGTCCCACAGGCACGTGGGGGCCACGGCGGGATTTCATGGCAAAGCGCATGATCTGGCGTTTCACGAAGATGAACAGCAGCACGAAGACCTGTGGAGCCACAGCAGAGTGGGGGTCAAGTATGCACCAGAGGGGAGGTCTCACAGCCAGCCTGTGCCCAGCCCTTCGACCCCTACGAGCAGAGGTCCCCGTTCTGCCCACTAGGAGCCCCACGGACACTCAGGTCAGCCCCACACCTTCCCAATCTCTACAGAGGCTGCCACTCACGTCTTCTCCCCGACCCCACGAGCCTCCAGCCCAGCCCCATGAGGGCATCGAACCCGACACCGAGGGGTTCCCCACAGACAGTCTGGGACATGTCTCTCGGGAACTCTATCGACTCCTCGGGCCCGGACGCACGAGAGCTCCACAGACGCGCCAGGATCAGCCTCGCGGGGGCTCCACGGACTCGCGTGGTCCGGCTCCGCGGACACTCCAGGCCGCACAGACATGCCAGACCACCCCACCCTGTCGCGCCGGCCCTCACCAGACTGCCGTAAGCCATGACCAGCACCACGTTGACCCCCGAAAGCCAGTTGCTGCCGGCCCCCGCCATGCCCGGCCCGGCCCGGGGCCGCACAACATGGCGGCCACAAAGCCGCCCTTCGTCCACACCACGTGACCAGAATAGCCCAAATCACGTGATC